CAGGGAGTGGGCGGGGCATGGGCTGTCCTGGGGCGGGGCCGAGAGCCCGCAGCCGCGACCTGCCCGGGACTGGGGTCCCGTCTTTGGGGCTGGGGTCCCGTCTTTGGGGCTGGGATCCCATCACTGTGACCGCGACTGGAGCCCTGTCACCATGAGCAGGGTCATCCCAGCACCCTGCCCCTAGCTGGGGTCCCAGCACCCTGCCCGTGACTGGGACCTTGTCACCCTGGTGTCCTGTCACCGTGTGCTCCTACCCCTGTGGCCAGCATCCTGCCACCCTGGGCTCCCATCACCCTGGGGCCCTGTCACTGTGACCTGGGTCCTGTCACCTCGCGTTGCCATCACCTTGGGGTCCCGCCTCCCAGTTCCTGACCAGGGTCCCATCACCCTGCCCATGCATGGGGTCTTGTCACCTTGGTGTCCTGTCAGCCTGCACCAAGAGACTCCGAGCGGCCTCAAAAGAGCAAATAAAGATAAAATGGAAAACAGAGGAGTGGGGACTGCACAGGGGGGTCGTCTCCAAAGCTGTCTCGAGCAGCGCTCCCGTAAGCACCGTGTCCAGTTGTGTTTGAAGCCTCTCCCAGGACACCCTGATCCGACCCTCGGCCACCCTCAGAGTAAAGCAGCATTTTCTTGTGATCGGATGAAATCTGCAGCGTTTGCGTTCCTGCAGACGGGCTCGCCCTGTCACCCGGCTCCGCCAAGAACAGCCCCCATGAGATACCTGCCCACATCAACAAGGTCCCGCAGCCGCCTCCTCTCCACCCAGCTCTTGCCTCTGGGTGCTGATGAGGTGCTGATTTTCCACTGCTTTCGCTGCAGATTGGTAACTGCTGCCTTTGAAAAGTTAATTCCTGCCTCATTCCCTGGGACCAGTTTTGTTTTAACAGTGATCATAATTTGAAGAATGTCTTCTCATAACCCGTGAGGTCAGGCTGAGAACCATCTTCTCCCACAGCATAAGAATGGAAATATTTTAGCACTTGCTGAGGACATTTTTTCCCCCATAAGAAGATGCTTCATTCATGTAGGTTTCCCGTTCTTGCAGTGTAAATTACATGCACAACCTGTAAATCACCCTACACCTCTAAATCACAATATGTCCCAGTGCCTCTGACACTTGGCATTCCTAAAGCGCAGGATGTGAGGAGATGGGGGCATTAGGTACGTGCCAATGACCTGTACATTATTTGGAAATTAAAGGTCGGACTTTGTGTCAGAGGGATCCGCTACGGACCGGGAAGTTCCTTCTGCATTCGATGGCACCGCGTGTGTTCAGATCCAGAGAGGTTCTGCCCATCAGCTGGGTTTTTCACATGCCCCTTTTTGACTCACACCTGAGGTACCTCCACCTCCACTGATGAAAAAAGAATTCGTGAAAACTAATTAGAGGAAGTGCTGCTTTAGGTAAGGAAAAATACCTAGGGCACCCTAACTGTGGTGCTTATGTCCCCACACCCTGAGAAAAGGAGGGGATGGTACCAGATATAATTTGACAGGTCAGAATCAGCCCCTAAAAATGTCCTGTCCCAGAAAGGACCAGTTCTCTATTACCAGACAAGTCCCAGAGAAAAAATCAGTGCAGTCCCATCTAGAGGAGCCCGTGCAATTCCAGCCACCTCATCTCAGGATGGGCAGGGGGAAGAATAGAGTAAAAATTTAAAAAGATACCTGAGAGCAACAGGGATGATGGAACAGTTTCTGCTCAAGAAGAGATTAAAAGAAACCGGAGAGCTTCCCCTTGGCAAAGAGCGAGGAGGGCAGACGGAGAGGCTGGCAGTCTCGCTTATCGCGAGTGGCATGGACCTGGGGCACAATTACTGTTATACAATAACTAAGGGCTCGCAAATAATATTATCAAGCACTGAGAGGTATCAGGGAGCAAAAGGAAGGAAGTCGTGTTTCACAACGTGTAATTTGAACATGTAATATCTCAGCTGCTAAAAAATCTTCTTGGATTCCAGAAGTGGCCCGACTAATTCAAGGGGAAAAAAAAAAAAAGGCTCACTGAGAAATATTAACCATTAGGATAGCCCTAAAACACCAGTAAATTAGTGGGGATCATTGGTTCCTATCGATAGTGTTAAGCTCTTGCATGGATGCAGGTGAGGGAGGTGTTCGGTATCCTGCAAAAGAGTGGGAACTCTCCAAGGAATTGGATTCTTCTCCCTGGATTTCTCATCACCACTACTGTGGTCTTCAGGAAGACCACGGACATACCAGTCGTGTGCTAAGCACCACCCAAAAACTGAGAATTCAAGCCCAGTGGTCAAGTCGCTTGGTGTTAGTTCTAACGTGGTGTTGTTGGCTCGTGGGTGCTGCATTTAGGGTCTCTACCATCTGTTTTTTTATGGCAATGAACTTAAACCCCAGGGATTTGGCCTCAGCTCTGCCAGGAGTTTGGGCTTCTGGAAATACTGACACGCAATGCCGGGTTTTTGCCAGACTTCTTCACGGGATGATTAATGTTTCATGTGCAGTGAGTTTATGGAGTGGACTTAAATTCACTCCAGTATGCTTCCTCCCGAGCAATTTATCATCAGCTCTGATGTGACTGTATAGTTCAAAGGGATTACATCCGTTCTTTAGTATTATGCCTTGGACACAGTGTGCATGAATTTTAATGAAGGATTTATCTGGATATAACATTTTTCGCAGAGTGGAAGCAGCAGTGTGGTCATATTTTCAGGAAAAAAAAAAACAAAAAACACAAGCTCAGAGATCTGGCTTTTGTGCTGGGTTTGAACTCTGCTTTTGTACATGGCAAAGGAAAAAAAAATGCAAAATGAATGTTTAGTTATTCTGTAACCAGGCATTTCGGGTCAAAGATATAGAAGGGATGAAAAAAGAAGATAAGCACAAGTCGAATGCCAAGGTCAGCCTCGTTCTTCCTAAGCGGGCTGAAGACAAGCCTGAGGAGGAAACGGAGCACAAATCAATGTCATATCTACACTTTGCTTCCGCGCCAAAGACACTGAAAGTGTCTCCAAGAAGTGGAAAGTTATCTGCAGTTGGAGCGTGCCAGTGTTGTCGGGGGAACATGGAGTAAAACACGCACAGCGGTGGCTAAAAAACTTCCCTCCGAGAACATTCCCTGTGCTCTGGAGAAGGCTCCCGGGCACTGCAGTAACCGGTGGGAATTGCTGGGGTCGTGTCCGTGTCCAGCACGGCCGTTGCTGCTCCCTGGCCGGTGCTCCCACGTTGCTTCTGTTACGGTGTTCACAAGCCCGGATTCCGCTTGCTGTGGACACCCTGTTAGCTGGGCGGGAGGTCGGGATGGAAAGGGGTCGCCTGGTGCTTGTCCTAGTGCTCACTTGGGCCAAGCCTTTTCCTTGCACCTTTCCCAAAGGCAGGGAGTGAGATAACTTGGTTGTGAGCCCACCTGGTGGCCTTTGGACACACCTGGTTCCTGGGAAGAGATCATGAGGATGCTGTAGAAAAGCATCATCTCACGTGAGGGTATTTTTTAAATGATCCGTCTTGGAGCGAGGAGGGAGGACACACGAGGAACAGCAACCGGGTTGCTCCAGCCTCAGCCCATCTCCCTTGATGGATGGGGTCTCTGGGCTCCCTGGATGCTGATCTTCTCCCTGCCAGGCTGAAGCTGAACAGGAAAACTATCTGTGTTACTAACTGTGCCTGTCTGCTGCAGGGAGTCGCATCGGAGCAGCCGGAGAAAACTGGGATTGGGATGTAGAGTGGGCCTCAAAGCATGAATCATTTCTGGAACACAGCTCGGATGCCAAAGACACTCCGTTTCAATGCGGAGGACAGGGAGAACATACGGAGGTCGTGCCCGTTTTCCAGCGTCCGGCTCGCTCGGTGGCACCCAGCTCCCTCCGGGCACCGGGTGAGGCTGTGCCGAAGAGGAACCCTCCTTTGCAGACGCGATGGGCACAGAATAAAATACATCAGTCTCACGACACACTGCAGAGCCTGCTATTGGGAGACTGCCGATTTGCAATCTCCGCTGAAATCCGGGCACGGGAAAACCCATCCCCGAGCACTTCCTCCGCACAACCTGTCATCCTCACGAGATGCTCCGAGAGCCTTAGAAGGACCCAGCTTCTAAAAAACGGGGCAATATTTGCACTCTCGGAGCGCGTCTCGCCCATGTGGTGCTGGTGCCGCTGGTTTCACTCCCGCAGTAACTTATCGCAGCGCGTCCCTGCGGGCAACGCGGCCAAGAGCCTGAGCAAACAACCGCGCGGCCCCGGGGGAGCAGGTCGTTCACCCCACGCTATAAAGGGCCCCACGAAGAAGGGCTGGGTTTTTTCTGGGCACTGGGCGCTCCTCTGCTCCCGGAGCAGCCTTGGCCCGTGGCTCCGGAGCGGGATGAATCACGGAGCGGGATGAATCACGGCTGGTAGCGGTGGGGAGGGAAGGCAGCGTTGTGGCTGTCCCCAGTGCTCAGCAACTCGATGCAGGGGGAGCAGATGTAGCCTCCATCCTCGTGGGAACGGCTTGTGTCTGCTGGGCTAAGAGAGATAAACCGGGGCACTAACCGGTGAGTTAATCCAGAGCTGTCTTTAAGGGGAAGTTGCCTTATTTATTGCGCTTAGTTGGGGTCTTTGGGACTTCTAAGGCTTCTTTTATGGCTTCCTTAAGGAGAGACTGAATGGCAAGCAGGTTGTAAGGGGAATGGGATTCCTCCTGCTATACATAGACTGGAAAGCAGTTAAAGGAAAACACTGGATATAGCTTGCTCTCTAACTTTTGACTTAAAAAAGGTTAAAAAATAGCACAGACCGCCAGCTTGTTTTAATATTTTAAATATAAAATATTTTTCCTGTATTCTTTAGTTGGACTCAGCCCACAAAATACCCTTGTTTGGGTGCAAAGCCACCCACTTCTGTCTCCACGGCGTTACCTTGTGTATCCTGTACGAACGCCAAAGACGGGGCATCCCACTTCAGCCGGATATTTGGAATAACGTACTCGTG